CCTACCACTTTTGCCATCCTTCGCTAAATTCATCCTCTCCTTCATTCCATTAGCAAACATTTTAACAGGCTTTGCAGTGAGACTTAATGGAGACAGGACTACAGGTAACATTTTTGTCCACTGGCTAGACACTAACCTACAGTGTAGCTTCACTAAAGCTGTTATTTCAGATTAGAAAGTAAAAAGAAGAGAAAAGGACAATATTCTCTGTGGCTTTTACAGGATTCATTGACACTAGATCCATCAAAAGAGGAGAAAGAGACCCTCCTTTCCCATGTCATCCAGCCGTGCACTTCCTCTGCACTACACAGTCTAAATGCAGACGTCTGTGCAGCACCTACTTAGCTCCCTCTCTGTCTTAGACATACAGACACATGGTAAATACAAGGACAGCTTCAAAGTCTTAGAATGTACCCTCTACATAATTGCCATGTTTATCCATAATGATATAGGAAGTGTTCAGACCAAAAAAAAAACCCAAAAAAACCCCCCACGGGGTTAGGAGTTAACACCCCTTGACTATTATAATTTAGTTCCATTGCCTCTGTAATTGCAAAGTGAAGACAGTGTATTTTCTCTGCCTGATGGGGAAGATACAGAAGTAAAAGGTCAAGGTTTTATCTGTCTGTGGTTCTGTCACTGACTTACTCTATAATCTTGCCCAAATCACTTTGAGCTGTTGTGTATCATGTTCCTTGCTAGGATAAAGAGTTAATGGTAATTTCCTACTCCGTAAATAATTTTAGGTCTATTGTCAGCTTTAGTAGTTTAATAATGTTAATCAACATGCATTCGCTGAACAGTGCTTTTAAATGCCTTTTGTGTGCTTATTTTTCTATACCAAGGTTTCCAAAACTTTTATTGTCATGACTGTAAAGTGCATTTAAAAGCTGCATTTTTATCATGCTCTTTTCCCAAGATTGTTAGTTGAAAAGAGTTCTTTTTCAGAACTGCATGCTGTTTTCCTCATGCACTGATTGGAATCAATGGCAAATGATCTAAAAAGTCATGCCACCATAGCAATACAGCAATAAAACAATATAGCTTGAAACTTTGACTTTGTTTAGAATTGTTCACATAGTCAGTTTCATTCAACCCCACTATTTATTCTTTATCCTCTCATCCATTCATTCTCTCACGTACACTGCTACTGACCTATTCATTGCATTATATATTGGTCTGCAAACCTCCGGGCACGTTCGCTGCCCTTTTCACCAGCTCACTAAATACCTACCACCTGTTCCCTCACTCACTCACTCTTGGGCTGATCTGCCCTCACCCTCGGACCTGGTTTGTGGGCCAGCCTTGGTCTTACTTGCGTTCCCTATTTTCCTCTAGTATCTCCTACCGTGCAGCTTATTTCTTCCTGAGTTTAATTAAGGACTTCAGGTTTAAGAGCAGTCAGATGTTACAGCTTTCTTTAACTTTCTCTTGCTTAATTGCTTCTTGCTCTTTTTTTTTTTTTTTTTTTTTTTTTCCCTGGCACAGATTTAATACAGCTTGCCTAGGCTTAAAATACCCATGTGTATATTCATCCCTCAACATGATTTCTGAACTAGGTATATTATGACTGAGGCAGTCTTTACATATTATTACTTCGCAGCATGCATTATGTGTACTTTTGAAGATTATACTTTATTATGCTTATAATGGTGGTTTTTAAAAGCATGTTTCATGCATATCTTTGGAATACCCATTATGGAGTTGCTGTGGACGTGTATTAATAGTTGTTCATTATATGATCTCATTGCCGCAGCATGTAGTATTTGAAAGATGAGAATCATTTTCAGAAAAACAAATTCAGTTATAATTATTGCGAGAACCAGTGTCTTCAGCCCTACACCACTACTTCACATACAATCGAGGCTAATGTTACAGACCTTTGGAAAACCTCCCCAATTTGTGTCCATCATGCCTCAGAGGCCATTTGTTTCTAAATCCTGTGAAAGATGTTACTTACAATGGGAACTGATAGGAATTTCCAGTGGTGCAATTTATGCTATTTGCTACGTGTTCCTGATGCTGTTATTATTAGGGCATTTTCATTTTCTCAACAAATTCCTGTTGGTAACACATTTTATTTGAAAGAAGATCCTGAATGTGGCCAAGAATCTGATATTTGACAAGGTCCAACTATCAATCCCTTGTTTTACCTCTGACCTTTCAGTCTGTGATACTCCACAGGTTTTACTGAGAAAGGAGGCTGAAAACTATGCTATACAAATGAACAATGTACTTCTTAAAGGTCACAAAATCTGACCTAAATAGAGACAGCAGAAGTAATGGAAATTTTGTCTTGGTGCTGGCTTTTGCTCTGGTTCCTTTGTGCCATGGAGGGTTTTTGGAAGCTTGTGCAGACTGTAGGCTCCCTGGGGAAACCCAAAAAAAAAAACCTGTGATTTCTCTACTCTATGCTAAAGAACTGCCCTAGCCTAGAATTTGTACAATGCAAAAGAGATTTTAAAAGCACCTTTGTTTCCTCCCTTGGAATATCATTTCATAGCTGTGTCCCACAGGAGATGCTTAAAGTCTTCTCTGTGCTAGAAGGGTTTTGCTGGTATATTAATACCAGCAGCCAGTCCCAGCGGAGATGCAGTTTATTCTTCTGCTGGCATGAATTTCAGCAATTCCCCAAACAAAATACGATAAGGATCTTTCATCCTTGTGTGTGTTTGCACTAGGGAATTTGGGTTCAGTGTTTGACCCTTTTTCACACCCTTTGCAGACACAGGTAGATCATCCTCAGAAGCGTTTCTTCCACTTCACAGCAGACCCTGGGTCCTCGGCTCCTCCTGCTCCCGGTTGCTGTTGCCTCCCAAGACGGGGCGTGACCACTTGCCTCCCCATCCTTCAGATCTAATGTTTTGGTGGGGTGTGACCCTGTTGGATGTTAAGGGTGTGATGAATGTGGGTGGCCCGACATTAAGCAGGCCTAAGTTAAATCACCACTTTGAAAATTAAATGAGGGGAAGTGGATTTCCCAGTGTTTTCCATACGACAGCAAACTGTTCACTGGCTGTGTTAACATCCTCCTTCAAACGCTGCAGTTCCAAATACCCTGAAATATCAAGGTGGCCAGGTCTTGCATGTAAACTTTCTTCATCTGAGGTTATTATCGGGACTCTGTGTCTTTAAGAGGCTCTATTTCCTTAATAATTTCATTTTGACAGTATTCTCAGCTGTAGCTAATATGAATTACAGATATTAGAAATTGTCTGTCATGTTACTGGAACATTACATATATATTGTGTAATGCTGGAATTAGAAGGTCAGCCAGTAAAGCAAATGCCAGCATCCAATAAACTAACTATTTTGTTCAGTCTTGCTTAAACAACTCCTGTTAGCCGAGCTATAGAAATCAAATGACATGGGATATCACCTGTTCCACAGCAATAAAAAATCCCCAGTCATCCATGTGTTAGTTCATGTCATTCATCAGAACAGTCACCACAGGCGTGCGTGGACATGATGGTAATCAATAACTCATCGGTGACTCAGCAGAAGCATCCCGGGTGAGATCGGTGCAGTCTCTGACCTATTTTCTTTTTTATGCCACGCTGCTTGCTCCTCCTTTAACGTTACCAAGCAGTCACCTACGTGGGCCTCCACTTTAAGGTACAGTAATTCCAGTAACGTTTGCTTTCAAAATAAATAATTCATATTTCCGTGGTGCCGGAAGGCTGCACCCCAGATGCGATTTGCGCTGCGGTCTGCAGTGAGCGGATCCATCCTGCCCGAGACGAGACAGAGCAAGAGTGGGGAAATGGGAACGGGAACGGGAGAGGGAATGGGAGCGAGATGAGCAGCACTAGGTGTAAGGAGGAGAGGTGGCTGTTCTGCAGCCTCACTAAATTGTGGGGGCATCGCATCTGCTTTTGGCAGAAGTGCCTCGAAACCTTTTCAAACCACACGGCCCTAAATCCTTACGGAGGAGCCCGTTTGGTGGTTACCGGGGGCATCACCGAGTGGGCACCATCAAGCTGCCGCCCTCCCCCGCAGGGATGCTGCCGCTAACGGGGAATGCGCCGGGGGGGGGGGGGGGGAGGAAAAAAATAAAAAAATGCCAGAGCTTATGGAAAAGAGGGCGGAGCAGCGCCCCGCGCCCGAGCCCCGCCGGTGCGGGGGCAGCCGCCCCTAAAACCGAGGGCCGGGCTCGCCCCCCCCCGGCTGTAGCCCCGCTCCAGGCGGGCACCGCGGCCCCGCCAGCCCCGCCAGCCCTCGGCCGCCATACTGCGGGGCAACCCAAACTTGTTACACACGGGCACCAACTCCTCCTCCTCCTCCTCCTCCCTCCTCCTCCCGCCGCCCTGCCCCCGCCGGCGCGGGGAGGGGAGGGGAGAGGGGGGGCCGCGCCGGCCCAGCCTGTCGCGGGGAAGGCGCCGAGGCGGGCGCGGGGAGCGCCGGGGACCCCCGCAGGTAGGAGCGCCCGGGGGAGGCGGCGGCGGGGGGGGGGGGGGGAAAGGAGGAGGAGGAGGAGGACGAGAAGAAGGAGAGGGAGGCGGCGGCAGCGCGGGTGGTGGAGTTGGAGGCGGAGGCAGGGCGGTCGCCGCCGGGGCGAGCGTCTGGCCGTGCCCGCCGCGGCTCCTGCCGCCGAGGTGGGTGCGGCGGCTGGCGGGGCGGTGGGGGCGCCCCGGGGGGTGCGGGGAGCGGGCGGGGTGGCGGGGGGTGTCCGGGCGGGCGGTGCCGGCACACCTGCGGCGCGGGGCTTCCCCTCCCCCCCCCACCGCGGCGGGGCCGAGCCCGCCGCCGGTGCGGGGAGGGGGCGCGGGCGGCGGCGGCGGCGGCGGCGGCGGCGGCGGCGGGGGGGACCCGGCGCGGGCGGCGGCGCGGCCGGAGCGGGGCGGAGAGGAGGAGCCTCCGGCAGCAAATGAGCGAGGGCTGGCAGGTTTATAAATGTGCTTTTCGCTCCCCGCGCCCCCGAGTCTGGCGGCAGCTCCGGGCCCGGCCGCTGCCCGCGGCGGCTCCCGCAGGTGCGTCCCCGGGGCGGCAGAGCAGCGCCCGGGCCCCGCCGGCGGCACCTCCCGGGGGTGGGGAATACGGGTGCGAGGCGTTTTCGGGAAACGGCCCCGCCGTTTCCAAGTGCCAGCCCCGGTTGCCGTTGGCGGGTCCGGGCACCGGGGGGAGGCTGCTGCCTGCGGGGAACCGCCGTCCCCCGCTCGAGGAGTAGCAGGACGCTGGACTGGGCGCTCGCTGTTGGGAAGCCGGCTGCGTATGTTTCGAAGAGCTATCGTATGCCGTTCTGTTTTTCAGCTGTCAGAAGAGTTTAAATCAGGTCTGCACAGAGGTGCTGAGTTTGCAAGGGATGGGTAAAGTGACATAAGAGTTGCCTGTCTCTTCCTGTTCGCCCTGCAGCTAATTACAAGGGGACGTCTTCGCTGCTTCGTGGCGGTGTGGGCTGTTTGGTGGTGTTTTGTGCGTATACGAAACCACGCGGCTTCGGTGTTGAAGGGAGGAGGAGTGTGTGGATGGATGCAGTGATTGCAACTTTATTGTTGCAGCTCGTTTCTGTTATGGGACCGCCATTAGCAGGGAGGGGAACAGGAGCTCGTTCCTGCCCTGGTGTGGGAGGGAACCTGATGGATCTGCAGGTTGAAGGGCTTTTTCACGTCCGCTTTTTGGTTTCATGCTGAAACGTTTGCCTGCCTTCCTGTTATCTCCTGTCTTTATTATCAGGTACCTCTTGCAAGGTGATACTTCAAGCTGAAAAATGTGAAACATCACATTTCAGTCTACGACACCCAAGTATTTCTAGTAGGCTCTGGAAATCAATGTAGTAGTAAAGCCTCTTTTTGTTTGTTTGGTTGGTTGTTTTGTTTTTTTTTTTTTTTTTTTGTTACCAAAATTCCTATAGTAATTAGCAGTAGGCTGTTGACTTCTTTATGACCATCAGGGTCAGAAATAGCTACTGATCTCATACTGCCTTTTGCAGAGGTTTTTGTTAGAGAGCTGTTCCATGACTGCTTTTATCAAAAGGAGTGTGAGTTTGGGCAGCGGTGCCGGCGCACCTGGGGGAGGTCGCTGTGCCTGTGCGGATGGCAGGCTGTGTTAGAAAGGGGCATTGTAAGGGAGGGAACCGAGTAGCCAGTTCAGGGCAAAACGCTGTACGTACCCTGTTCCCCGCTGCACAGGGAGGTGTGTGGGTGCAGTGTGCTGCCAGGGCAGGCAGGCGGCCGCTGCCGTTCTCTCAGGTAGCGGAGATGAGGAGGTGCAGGTGGCACTTTCCTGCTGAAAGCAAATGGGGGGGCAAGGTTTCTACACGTGTGTTCATCAAGGGGAAAAAGAAAGCTTTTTAAATGTGGACTGACAGATGAAGTCTGTCTCCACTGGGTTTTCCTGGCCTAGAGAGGAAATAATTCTCACACACACACACGCACACCCGCCCCCAAAGCAATTACTCTGTGTACACTTCGTGATGGTCAGGGATTTCTGCAGAGCCTGCTGACAAAAGCTGCTTGCGTTCATACCTACCAAAGTAGGTCTATAGCTGTTTTGTTTGGGTTTTTTTGAAAGAGGCAAAAGCCATTGTAGCTGGTGGGGAGGGCGGTACCTCCTTCCACAGTGAATGAAGCGTTTGATGTGAGTGGATTTCTTTCAAGACTGTAAGACTGATTCACAGATTTTTTTTTTTTTCTGGACACTGTAAGTACAGGTGTGCCTGCAGACTTCGTTTAATGCTCTCCTGGCTGATGTTGCAGTTTAGACCCCTCTCTTCCTCCAGAATAAACAGCTTGATAACCTTTTGTTAACCTGCTCGCCTGGCTACAGCTGTGCCCTGACAAAAGCGTGTGGCTTCACACCCCTTAAGAGGTCCTGCGAGAAGGAGGGATGATGTGGATGCCGCCGGCGCTTCTCTCGCTGGCCTTCTGAGCAGCTGAGCTTCAGCGTTACCCACTTGGTGCAGCCGCTCACTGGGGAGGAGCTGGGGACCTCTCCTGGGGATCTGTGATCTGCCCAGGGCCGCTTGGCTGGAGTTGGAGACCGCACTGTGCCGGCTCTGCAGTACGCTCTCCCCCAGCCGTCTTGGGGGATGTGTGTTGAATGAACGTGCTGGTGTTGAGATAGGTTCTCTTAGATGTTTTCTTGTGGTGAAGTAAGCTGAGGTCTCTTTCAGTCGTGCCAAAATTAATTCCTCACCTGGGCTGCTAGCGTTAGATCTGATACTTTCATATGCCACATAGTTTGCAAAAGGTGTTGGGTAAATTGGTAGGTGGTTGTGCCTTACTCTGATTCTAAGGATGGCTTTCCAAAGTGGGATACATACTTAAATCAGTGGAAATAACTGTGATAGAAATACTTCAAGATTTTATGTTGTCTCTGAAGTCCTCAAATGTTTTCAGTTTTTTTTTTTTTTCTTCAGGAAAAATGGAATCTCAAGTCACAGTTGTTGCAGTAGACGTGTAGATCATAAGAAGATAAAGTATTTCCCCTGAATGTTCACAGATGAGGTTATTTATCCCAGTTTTTGCTGTGCGGAGGTAACTTGAAATGAGTAGTAACAGGGAAGGAAAGATGTAATTGCCAAGATTGACTAACATTTCTTGAACCCCTTCAGTGCTTCTGAGTGTTGCATCTTGTAAATATTCATATAATTCTATGATTTAAGTGAGTTGAAAAGTAGTTTCTGAAAGCGCATGACCATGAAAGTGTTATTCATGAATGGATGCTTCCCACTAAACAGGTTTAATTACTTGTAGACATGACTGAGAGAATTTTTCACAGTGTTTTACTTCTAGAAAAGTGCATGAAACAATAATGTATTCCAGGTAGCATGTGACAATAAGGATGGAGACTTTGCATTGACAACAAAAAGAAGCAAAGCAGGTTATAAACTTCCCTGAGTTATCTTTTAAAGGTTCCTTTTTTTTACACCTCTATGTAAATTGCTGTGTTGGAAGTTTAAAATGAGAATTCAGGTTTTCATTATTGTGGTAATATTAAACAGTTTTGGGGTGTTCTTTGTTGTGCCTAATACTCAGCTGCCGTATACCATGTTTAGTTAGCTGAAGAAAGGTGTGCCTGGTTGGGAGGCTATGTAATAAACAAGGAGCTGGGAAGTGCTTTTGGCTGTTTTTTATTTGATTTTTTTTTCTTTCCTTGAAGCTTTCCCCTTCCTCTCATCTAACTGGTCATTTCTCTGATGATAAAGCAGCATTTTATAAGGCTGCCTTCATCTGGCTTTGCATAGTCCTCAGCTTGGGTGTCCAGGTAGATAGGTAGAAGTGTATTGAAAAGAATGAGGAAGGTCCCACTTAATTTACCGGGGTCTTGAGTTTCAGGAAGGGGAAGTGGCTGCAGAGTTGTTTTTCAGTCTAGCACACAATTGCTTGTGTACCAAGAGGAGCCTGTGAAAGCCGAAAGGATGCTGCTGCAGCTGCCATTTGGAGAGTTAACTCACCTGTGTGTGGATGTAGCTGTACAGTCTGGGTGGAAGCTGTTTTTTTTCCTCCTGATATGAGGGTTTTGTCTTTGTTTCTTGGAGGAGTTAATGATAGCAAAGAAAACCACTTTTTCTGTTCCCACAACTGTTACAAAGCAAAAACTAGCACTTTGTATTTCAGGCTAATGTTTGCCATCATCTTGGATGGGGAAGTTACAGGTCTTGCTGTCCAGAACTGGATTAACCAGGTCTTGCATTTAATTGTGTTCTGGCTAAAAAGCTTTTATGTTCTGTCTTTTATCTACCTGTAAAGTTCCAGCTTTCTGGAGGTACAGCTGCAGCCTGCCTTCGCTGCGAGGGCGGTTAGTGTCTGTGGTTAGACTGGTGGTGTGCTCCGCTTCTGCTGACCTCGGGTGTCCAGGAGCCGCTCTGTCCCCTCCTGCTCCCCACCGCACCAAGCAGTGCGGCAGCAAGTTTCTGGGTAAGTGGACATGTTTCTGAAAATGGCATGGGTAAATAAGAGAAACTTATTTTTGGTACTGTTTGTGGTTTTTTGGTTGTGTGGTTTTTTTTTTTTTTTTTTTTTTGTATGATGGGGTGAAGGAGGGAAGAAAAAAGGCGCTTTTTTTTTTTTCCCCCAGTGTGGAGGCATACATTTGGTTTGTAGTACTGTGACTAAGATTTCTGACAAGTAAGTGTTTTAAAGTGTCAAACAGCAGCTTTTACTTCAAGAGCATGTTCTTACAGTGCCCGAGGGGGAATCAAAACAGATGGCAAATTAATAAAAACTTGGACTATAGATGTGATCAAATAAGGAACTTTTCTGAAGACAATAAATAATCGAACCCCATGTATCGAGTTTAGAACAAGCCTGTTGGTAATCTAGAAATAATACCCTATTTCCTGTCTTTCCCTCCTCTTCCACCTATTTTTTTTTTCTTTCTGCTCATGTGCAGCAGTGAACTTGCAATCCACCAGGCATTTTCTGCATTGATCCTCTTAAAAAATTAGTATTAGCCTATATGTGAGTCAGGCCAAAGAGGATTGAACACTGTACTGCAAAATTAGTACCTGTTGGCCTCTTTGGAAAGACAGACAGGTTCCCCTCTCTTGGAAGAGTGCTGTTGACATGGGCTTGAGAAGAGAACAGGTGATGGTGCATTGCGAGGAGCTTGATTTGCATGTTCCTGTGCCGCTCTGTGCATGCCGAGCAGATACGTAGGGGATGGAGCACCGATACGAAGAGGACTATGAAATGTATGGAATTAGCAGACTGGGAAATCCTGATGTCCTTAGTGCATCTGATTACTCAACTGAGCTGTGAGACCGAAGAGGATATGCAAAGCAGGGGAAAGTTTATGGAGACAGGCATTTCTGCTGGGAAAGCAGGCAGAAGAGCAGCAACTTCTGCAGACTTTGTGTTAGCTCTTTGCCGGTACGCAACAGAGGGACCAACTGGTGTCTGGAAGCTAAAGCAGGTCTAACACGACTGCAGCGAGGTGAGGCAGAGAGGGGAGGCTGGTGTACCCGTGTGCTTGAATATGGCCTGCCAGGTCCGGACAGATTTGCATGCACTGCAAATGGCAGAGCGGGAGGAAAAGGGGGAAAAATGCATGAAACGTGATTATAGTTCTTGCTTTGTTTTCAAGAGTAGTTTTCAAGGGCAGGCTTTAACTGTGTTTCTGCTGAGTTTTTCCTCCTTTCTCCAATATAAATCAGGCATTCTTCTTGCCCCAAATGATTGGGTTTTGTATGTATATGCTCAGTTGTGCTTGATTTTTCTTTTTTTATAATAAACAAATGATGCTCTATGAACTTTGTCATTGTATATACAAAGACATGCATAGAAAAGTGGAGGCTATTTTTTTTTTAAAGAAGGTCTTTGTTCTCATTTC